TTTTTTCCATATAAGTCCTTAAACAAGTGTTCATTTTATTTTAAATCTATACAGTGAATTGGCCAAGATATTTTAAGAGGAAACTTTAATAGTACATTTATTGCTTTTATAACCCTGGACTTATAAAAATGGATTGTTTGAAGGGTTATTCTGAAAATGGGGAAAAAAAAATCTTAGTTGCTAATATATCTAAACTTCAGCAGAGATTTCTGGTGATCTACCCCCACCCTCAACTCTTGACAAAGAAACAAGACTATAGATTCATTTTCTGAAGTGGATCATGTACAGAATTTTTTAATGAGCTTTTAATTTTACCTCTGTACTCTTGATTTTCTGTTATTGAATAATCTTTTTTAAAACACTGATTTTTAAGGCTTTATATAGAAGTTTTCCAAGCTGATGTTCACATCTTTTTTTCATGGACTATCAGACTATAGTGAACACTTTTCAAATATTTAAGGACTTAATGTTTAAAAAGCCATAAAATAGAGAGTAGTAATACTACCAAATAATTACTTAAAACTGAAACTAAGTTATCAACAGTTTATATAACATGTTTTTTGAGATGTAAATCCAGTGTGACAAAGATAGAAAAAGTTTATATAATTGTTTTTTTTCCAATAAATATGAAAAAAAAAGCTGTTGCTTATTCATTACATTTTCAAAATACACTGGAGCCTTACTTTAACACAGTGTACTGTAACTTGGAATTTTTTCTGAGTCTTTCTTGAATTCCCATCCAGGAAACTGTAGTCACCAAAAGCAACCAGTATTTTCACATGATGTAAAAGATCATATTGTGCTAGTACATTAATATCCATTTGGAGATGGCCATTGCTAGAACTTGAATCACAAATAATAGCTAATAATTTTTCAGGTTTCAAAAAAGGTCATTTGGATAACAGCTATTTATAAAATGGAAAATAAAAAATTACTCTATTTTGCATGAATAGTTCAGACTTTCCCATACCAGAGCCAAGTAGTAACTAAAATTAGGATCTTAATTTTCAATGATAAAAGATCTAAGGCTCATTTAATTATGCTCCTTTAACATTTTCTTTCTAGGTTTTACAGCCAGTACTTTCAATATTTGGGAATGTAAACAGTTGATATATTTATTGTATGTTGGCTGACAGTTCATCCTTCTGCAAAATATGCATTTAGAGAAATGTGAAGCTGTTTTAATGAGTATTTAAATCATTTGTATCATTTGTGTTTTCAAATACACCAACTTAAAATTCTGAACCTATTTTTTTCATCATTAACTTCCTATTATACCAGAACTTATATCTTTTTCCTGTAAAGTTGGTGATGGGATATGGCAGCTTTATTTTTGAAAAATATATAACATGACTTTAATAGTTTTATAGTTTTTAGAATTAGAAACATAGGGAGGGAAAATGTTTAATTAGATAATTCAACTTTTTATGTGTCTGTAGTATACTATAAAAGCAAATTATAAAGTATTATTAAATATTTATAATTTTTAATATTACTTACATTATGAATTTAACTAAAATAAAGTGTGAGTTGTATATTTTTTAATTGGATTATTTCAATAGCTGGAAACATCCTGAAGCATTATATTGATTTTTGAATTATTTGAATTCAAACTGAGTATGATTCGAAAATAATAATTGTAAAACATCCAAGTCATAAAGCTATTTATGCATTCATTCATACCACAAAGATTTATTGAATGCCTGCTATGTGTTAGGCACTGTGCTACAGATGGACACAGGTGAAAAACAACTCCTATCTTCAAGGAACATACGGTATATTTGGGAGAAAAGGAAGGAATCTGTGTATGAATAAAAGCAACAAAAGGCTGCATCTGCTGGCTGGGCGCCGTGGCTCATGCCTGTTATCCCAGCACTTTAGGAGGCTGAGGCGGGTGGATCACTTCAGGCCAAGAGTTCAAGATCGCCCTGGCCAACATAGTGAAACCCTGTCTCTTCTAAAAATACAAAAATTATTCAAGAATGGTGATCCATGCCTGTAATCCCAGCTACTTGGGAGGCTGAGGGACAAGAATCACTTGAAAATGGGAGGTG